CCTCCAGGACGAACTCGTCTCCTCTCCATCCTCATCCCTGTCCTGACTGTCCTGTCCGCCCTGGGAGTCCTGGCTGGTCTGTACTATGGAAAGACCAGGAGAGAGAACCAGGCAGGAGACAGGCCTGCGATGTTCTCTGCCCTCAGAGATGGCGACGATGGAGAGACGGGAGACGAGGAGGCACAGCGAGAGAGGAGAGAGTCTGGGGGAGTAGAGGTGGACACTGCTGGTGATGATGGAGAGACAGGAGACGAGGAGGCACAGAGAGAGAGGAGAGAGGCTGGGGGAGAAGAGGTGCACACTGCTGGCGACGATGGAGAGACGGGAGAGCAGGAGGCACAGTCAGAGAGGAGAGAGTAGGGGTGCACACTGCTGGTGATGATGGAGAGACAGGAGATGAGGAGGCACAGCGAGAGAGGAGAGAGTCTGGGAGAGTAGAGGTGCACACCGCTGGCGACGATGGAGAGACAGGAGAGCAGGAGGCACAGTCAGAGAGGAGAGAGTCTGGGAGAGGAGAGACGCACACTGCTGGTGCTGTCGGAGACGCAGGAGATGAAGAAGCACAGACCCTCCCCTGTGCTGCAGTGACATAAGATCCCTCCTCATCTCCTGTTTGACAGGACTGTTGTAAGACCTGACATTAGAAGACCCGTTGTCTTTTGGAACTAAACAATGTGCGTTAAGCATGTTAGTTCCTTCAGCAGGGCCGGCGCCAGAGGGGAAAATCTGTGGGGGGGGGCGGCTGAAATTAGGAGGGGGGTGATGATTTTTTGGTTGAAACGGAGCCGTTGCAAAGCCCCCTTTTTGCTGGTGCATCCCCAGCTAGGGCCGCTGGTGAACTATGATTACTGTGCGTCTCCCAGGTGTGGTAGCAGTTCAGTGGGGAGTATATACCCTTCTATATATCAATTACTATCTGGGTGAAAGGTGTTAAATGCAAGGAATTCCTTATCATAACTAGTATTTTCTGAACCTAGCCTTTGAGTCAAATGAACACTTTTGTTTTGAACAATGGATGTAATTATTTCTACTGGTGCACGTAACAGATGCTGGTCAGTTCCAGATCCAGATAAAATGAGGTGCCAAATTTGAGGAGAAAAAACATGCATGTAAAAAATGAGAACCTGAAAAAAGACACAAGAAATAATGCACTAAGGAACTTAGGAAGTGTGTGTGTGTCCTGTGATGGACTGCTGTCCTGTCCAGGGTGTGTGAGTGTGTGTG